CAAAAAAACTAACAAAAGAAAATTTATTTTGACAATAAATAACAAGCGAAAATATAATTTTAGGCAACTTTTTTTACTTTAAATAAATGTATCATTGGCCTAAAGATCACTTATTTTGTGATGTAAAATGCTCTAAATATTTCCACACATTATTATTTCTTTAAGCCATAAAAAGCTGGGGACAATTTCAAACAAAAAACGAAAAACATGCACTTAAAGGACATAAATCCACTTTTTCTCCCCAAGGGCTGAAAAAAAAATCAACTTTTTGTCACGGTATATTTTTTTATATTAAACCTACAGTATCTCACACACAGATTAAAGAGCAGAAATTGCATCAAAAATAATAGTCTTAATAATAAAAAGGAAAAAAAATAAAGGACCATGGATTACAGAAGGGGGAGGGCGCAGAGAGGAGGCAAACAATAGAGAATCAAAGCATAATAATATTCCTAAATGAAGAGGGAAACGCTGCTCCGCTCATTTTATTAATCAGACTGTCAATTTCCCCCAAGAGGCCAAACCCAGGAGCAGTGTGGAACAGACTCAGAGATCAAGCCAGGGACGCGCAGCTCGCTCCTCTCCTCCTCTCCACTTGGATATTATTCGTCTGACCGAAGGCCGCCTCCATCATCAACTGACAGCCCCTCTCCTATTTATTTGCTTATAAACCTGTTACAATAAATGATCATTGGAGCAACGTCAGCGCAGCTTTTTTAACAACAACAGCCAGCACTTTTTGATGAATGACAATTGGCTGCTGGCGGGAGGACGCGCGCGCTACTCTCTTCCATGTTTCTTTTCTTTTCTTTTTTTTTTATTATTTTTTTGTGCGTCTTGCTTATAAAAAGCTTTAGATACAGTTATTCAGGGAGGATTTAGCTCTGACACAACTCATTGGTGCTGCAGCAGAGTCTGTTTTTTTTTTCTTTTTTTTTTCTTCGCCCCCCCTCCTCCATCCCCTCTCCTTTTTTTTTTTTTTTTTTCGTGTTGCGTGGCTTTAATGATGGAGAGGATAAGAAAGGAGATGATATTGATGGAGAGAGGTCTGCACAGTCCTGTGGCCGGGAAGAGGCTCGCAGACGCGCCGGGGAACTCGGTCCTGGAGGCCCTGGAGAACTCGCAGCACGGCGGGCGGCTGAGCCCGAGAATCACTTCCGCCTCCCTGCACGGGAGCCTCGGGGACGTCCCGACGAAGGGCAAGTTCGAGATCGACAGTCTTTTCGGCACGCACCACGGCAGCGAGAGCAACCCCGGGCCGGAGATCTCCTCGTCGGAGAGCAGGAAGAAAATGAGTCTTTACTCGGAAGTTTCGCAGGAATCCGACATCAACAGCGATGTGGAGGTGGGATGTCCTGCGCACCGCTCTCCAAGCCAACACAAAGAAAACAACAAAGGTATCCATACTTTTATTCTGTTAAAAAATAAAATAAAATACTCATTATTTAATCTCAATTTTTGCATCCAAAATTTAAAAAAGTTCATTATAATCTCGGCTATACAT